GAGAGCATTCAGAGAGGAAGCCAGAGGAAATAAAAGGGGAGAAGTGGGAGAAAGAGGAGAAAGGAGAGTAAATCAAAACCAGAAAGAACGAGAAGAGTGAAAGGCTGCGGGATAGAGACAGACAGGAAGGAGAAATAGAAACTAAGAACCACAGAGAGGTGAGGGAGAGGAGACAGAAGAACACAGGAGAAAGATCACTGATCCACAGTCACAGAATCCTGAAAGGAGACGAACAGTGAGACAGGGAGACCAAAAGAAGGAGAGGGGGAGAAAAAGAAACAAGGTGCGTGCCCTGTCTGGTCCAACCAAGATGCCGTGCCCCTGGATGAGGAAGGATGGAGAAGCTCACTCTCCCTCAAACAGGCTGACCCCGCAGCCTTCTGACCTGAGCTTAAAGCAAGCTTTTTTTTTTTTTTTTTTTCTGGCGGGGGTGAGTAGAGGGGGTTGAATCCGAGGCTCCAAGAGGACAATCGAGCCTCCCAGGTCTGCGCAGAAGTCCTCGTTGGGTTCAGAGCTGCGAGCGGGAGCTTCAGGGTTCCGGGTGGCACGAGAGCGCTAATGTGGGGAGGGGGCGCTGGAGGCGATTTCCGGGAGGAAGCACGCACTCTAAGCTAGGCACCCCTGAGGGAGCTGCTTCCCTGGGATCTGTCCCCCCGTTGGGGCAAATGAGCACCAAGGAGGCTAGGAGCCCAAGGCGGGCACCTCGTCAGTTTCAACGCTTGTCAATATCAAAGGAGCGGGTACCAGTGCGCGGGGGCATCGGGCAGAAACAGGGAGCCATCTCTCCACCGCCGGGCCATCAGAAAACCCTCCCGGGGAGGGGTAAGTTTACGTGTTGACCGACCCCTGTAGGAAACTTCTTAATTAGGCCTCAGACCCTGGAGAAACACGGATGTCCTTATGTCAACAGAGTTCCCAATTTAGCGACACCTCCGACTGAAAAAAGCTGCGCAGCTAACGGGGGTGAAAGTTTAGGTGGGAGTGAGCGTGTAACAGTCCCCCGCCAGACCTCACACAAGCCGAGGAGAATATTTACAGCAAACTTGCCAAAGTAAACGACCCCGCCTACCCACCCTTCTTTCCCCCTCCTCCTCCCTTTTTAGTAAACTTCAGATAAACACCATTCGGTCACCAAAGGGTCGGTTGGTCCCCTTTATAGTTGGAGGCAGGCGGTGCCAGAGGGATAAGCCGGGTCCAGCAAAGGCTTCCTGGGCCATTCTTTCGCAAGGCTGGCTTCTCTGCCCATCCTGGCCTGAGCCGAGGATAGGTGATCCGGTTTTGCATTTGTGTCCGTGTGTGTGCGGTTTGTGTACATACGAAATTTATTCTGAGGCTCCTCTGCCCCCTTCCCACTTCAACATCCACACACACACTACTCCTTCGCCTTAAACGCTGCAGGCATTACAGATATGCAGAGGCGGCGGGGGGGTGGGGTGAGTTATTATTTTAAAAAAATCAAGCCTAGAATTAAGTGAAAACTCGCTGAGGAATAATTGGGGGATACCAGAAGTTCCCTGAGTCCTCTCGAATCCCAAATGTGGATCCTTCTCCCGCGCGTAAAGCAGCGTCTGTCGGACTCTGCCCAGGGGCAGGCTCATCCGCTGTTTCCTGCCTGTCTTTTGTACAGCGAGAAGCGGGGAGAGAGAAGATAGAGGGGATCTGCGAAGAGGAAAAAAAAAAAAAAAAGACCGTGTAGAGCCCGCGGCTGGAGACTAAAGCCCTGGCCTGGAGCGCGCAAGCCTTGTGGGTTCCCGCGGCGGCCAGGCCTGGCACAAGTCTTCAGAACACGCTAGCCAATGTTTAACTCGCATGCAGTGGCCACCAGGCCGCTTTTGTTTGTTCGCAAATTAATCACCCAGCGCACGGCCGGCGCCAGAGTGGGTTTATCACCCACCGGGAGGGGGGCGCGGCGGCCTAGCAGAGACAAAGAGGAGTTCGCACCTTTCCGCTTTTGATCCCAAGTTACCGCGGCCTCCCTGCATAATACGAGTCTCCTGGGGCCGAGTCTGGGAGGTCAGTCGTAATTGGCGGAAGTTTGCAGACCATTAGCAAGATGTCGACATTTTCGATTCAGAACCCCGCAAACTTTCCTCTCCCCCGCCTCCTTGCGCGCTGGAGTAGGAGTGAGGGTCAAGAGTGGCAACTGGGGTGACCCCAGGGTTAAGTCAGAACTACGGGCAAAAATAGGCGCATAGGGACGAGGGGGCAGTGTGAGGGGCAGAAATCACGCTCAGTCCACGGTGGGGCCAAAGGCGAGTGGACGTATTTACAAGTACAGTAAAATCAGCGAGCCTCCCTTCCGTGTCCTAAACAAAAGGGAGGGCACAATGCAGAGGCGCGAGTAAAACGTCTCTCTCCAGCGCGTCTGGATGCTTGGGGCACCGAGTGGGTGAGGAGGGGGTCAGTCACACTGTGGTTACAGAATTACTTCGCTTCCACTCGGAGCGGCGTGGCAGAGACTGGCGGCGACTGCAGGCAAAACCAGGTCGCCGGGTTTGGGGCCGCTCCTGAAAGCGCAGCGGAGCAGCTCCAGGCTCAGGCGGCGAGCAGTGTGGGGGAGGGGGGGGGGAGTTTTTGCCTCCGGAGACTCGAGAAACCCTGCAGTGACCTCAGTGGTCGGTGTGAGGAGGGGAAGGCCTGGCTCCTCGCAACCTTCAGGATCGCGCCACAAGGCACGCGGGAGGAGGCGTTGTGAGGCAACACCGTGGGGCCCCGCCGCCTCTTTCCTTTCTCTCCCTATTTCTCTCTTTGTAACCACCGGCAGAGAGAGATCGAGAAGACGCCACAGAAAGACAGGCCGAGAGGAAAAGAAAGGAGCGAGATGGAGAGCCAGACTGAATTCGCAGACCCACTCTTTTCTCTGGTGACTTCAGGGCATTCTCAGCGCTGGCGCCAAGCGCTCTTAACCATGTGCGTCAAAAATGCGAGGCTGGAAAAGCTTGTCGCCTCAAAAGTTCCGCCCCTATCTCCGCGCGGTTGGCCCACAATGGAACTGCTTTTCCACCCTCCACTTGCTCCCACTTCGGAGCCTGGGAGCTGGGGGTTTAGGAGGTACACAGGTCAGAACATAAGAAAGGACTGTGCGGTCTACACACAAAGACGGACCCACATCCCAAGCCTTGGGTTTCTTAACCCCCTAGGCCCCGAAATCACCCCTTTCTCCATTCCCTTTCCACTGGAAGAAGCTCTCACCTCAGGAAGGGTAAGAGAACATTCACCCCAAGATTTCCCTCCATCTAAGCAGAGACAGCCCAAAGCATTGACCCCTGGAAGCGAGAAATGGGGAGTCTGGGGGATCCTCTGACCTGGACAGGGGCCTGCTGTCACAGCTTTCAATTTGGCGACTGGTGTGATCGGTAAGATCGGGTTGCCACCCTCCCCTTCACCCTCGCTGAGGCCCCCACCCTACCTGAACTGGAACTAGTCACCTCGCCTCTGGGGTGGGGGCGTTTCACGGTTTGTTTTGCAAATTCATCCCCGACTTCTGGCGAGATAAGTCCCCGGGTGGAGAAAGAACTGAGGCACCGAGAGATAAGTGCGATGCCTGGAGAAGATAGAAGGCTGCCGCACCTCCCCCTACCAGCTCGCCCACCCGCTACCAGCAGCTCCGCACCGAGCAGGCCAGCGAGGTGACGGCTGCGGCTTGGCGGGGACAGGCCCGGAACCTAGCCCCTCGCTGCGCTCACTTTGTCCAGATCTCCGTTCTCCCCTCTACACTCAAACACACGTTTAGGTGGAATACAGGGAGCCCAAATCCAGATGGAAAACAAGATCTAAAAGGGCTAGTAAAGGCAATTCAAAAAATCCCCAGTCCGCCTCCCCGCATAAGCGCAGACATGGCCAGCCGCGCAGGCTGTGTACGTGTTTGCGAGTACGTGTTTGTCTGCGGGTGGCTGGGTCCCAGTGTGCTGGCGCGTGTTCGTCAACAGATGTGCTGGGGGTGTTTGGGTCTCCGCGCAAGGTTTCGGGTGGGGCACGGTGGGGCTGGAGCCCTTCACGCCTGTGCTCAAATCTGGCCGCATCCGTGTGCTCGTGAAGCCGCGAGCCCAGAGGCAGGGGAGACCGGCCCGAGAGACACCCGAGCTCGGGAGCCCTTCAGCGGCGGCCGAGCGGAGCTGGGCTCCACGTGGGGCTGCAGAGCGCGCAAGGCTGGAGTCTCGCTCGGCGCTCGCCTCTCCGCGGCTGTTGGCTTTTGTTGCGCCCAGCGGCCAAATGGCAGCTCGCGGGAGGCTCGGCCGTCCGCCTGGCTCGCCCGGGGCCGGGGTAAGAGGGTGAGCGGGAGATAGAAACGGCCGCCGGCCGGAGAGGCGAGCCGAGCGCGCGAGAGGCGAGCGCCCCTGTCCGGCGCCCGGCGCGCTCTCCGCCTTCCTCGCCCGGCTCGCTCTCTGCCTCCTCCCTCCCCTTTCCTCCCTGGCCCTGCCTCCGCCCTCGATCCCGGGCTGGATGACTGAGGCATTTCAGACGTGGGCTGAGCAAGAGCGAGCGAGCTCTGGGGCTGCGGCGAGCTCTCGATAAGCCACCTAGAGGCGACTCTGTGCGCGCGCGCTCCCCAGTGGCTCCCCGCCCTCCCTCTGATCATGTTGACATATTCACAGGACAGGCAGTAGTACCGATGCGGCGCTGCGACGTTACAGTTTCCGACACCTTCTTTTTATAACTCGGCTCTATCCCCCAGCACTCGACCTGTGAAAACCACGCCTATGCAGCAACACAATTGGTCCGAAAGCGTCAAAGAGCCAATCAAGAGGCCTCCGGCTCCCCGCAGCCCACAGCAGAGCCCGACCTTCTAGAGCCGCCGAGCAGACGCCCGGGGAATTCTAGAGGCGGAGGAGGGTGGCGAGGAGCTCTTGCTCGCTTTCTCTCGCTCCCTCCCTCTCCTCGCGCTCCCTCTCCCGCTCCGTGTCTCTCTCTCTCTCTCTCTCCCTCCTTTCCATTTTTCCCCCCTAAATCCTCCCTGCCCTGCGCGTCTGGACGCAGATTTAGGAAGCGAATTCGCTCACGTTTTAGGACAAGGAAGACAGGCGCGGGAGAAGAGCAGGCAAGATTCGGATTGAAACGCAGACACCCTCCGGAGGCTCGGAGCGGAGGAAGGAGGAGGAGGGCGAACGGAAGCCAGTTCGCAGTTCAAGTTTTGATAGCGCTGGTAGCACAGGGCTTCAATCAGAGATTTTTTTTTTTTCAAGGAGAGAGACTTTTTCCGCTCGCTCCCTCGCTCGCTCGCTGTGAAAGCCGAGTCTAGCGCAACTGCAGACGCCTCCTGCGAGAAAGAGGGAGAGGAAGGGAGATAGGGGCGGGGAAGAAGCAGAAGAAGAGGGGAAAAGTCTCCTAGGAGAAGCGTCCGCATTTGCAACAAAGAGCTGGGGGCTGGGGAGCGGTTCCCGGGACCGAGGGCTGCAGTGTCTATTTCGAGTTAAGCGGCAGAGCTCGGGCGCGAGCCGAGACCCTGCTCGCTCCTCTCGCCTCTGAAACCGACTTCCAGGAGCGGCTTTTTAAACACGCAAGGCACAAGGACAGTCACCCAAGCGACTATGTCTCCTGATTTCTCGCCTTGCCCTCTTTAAAAGCGGCATTCTCCTCCCCAAAAGACACTTTGCCCCCCTCCCTTTGAGGTGATTTAGCTGTGATTTTTTTTTCCTTTCTCCTTTTTTTTTTTTTGCTTTTTTTTTTTTTTTAACTATGTGCTGCTGTTGAAAAACAAAAACAAAACAGCAGCTGCGGACTTGTCCCCGGCTGGAGCCCAGCGCCCCGCCTGGAGTGGATGAGTCTCTCCATGAGAGATCCGGTCATTCCTGGGACAAGCATGGCCTACCATCCGTTCCTACCTCACCGGGCGCCGGACTTCGCCATGAGCGCGGTGCTGGGTCACCAGCCGCCCTTCCTCCCCGCGCTGACGCTGCCTCCCAACGGCGCGGCGGCGCTCTCGCTGCCCGGCGCCCTGGCCAAGCCGATCATGGATCAATTGGTGGGGGCAGCCGAGACCGGCATCCCTTTCTCGTCTCTGGGGCCCCAGGCGCATCTGAGGCCTCTGAAAACCATGGAGCCCGAAGAGGAGGTGGAGGATGACCCCAAGGTGCACCTGGAGGCCAAAGAACTTTGGGATCAGTTCCACAAGAGGGGTACCGAGATGGTCATTACCAAGTCGGGAAGGTAAGCAAGCCGCGGGCCCCCTCCCCCGAGCTCCTGGAAGGTTTTTTCCCTCCCTTTATCTCTCCCCTCCCAGAACGGCCGGCTTGCCAGTCTTTTCTGCTTGGAGGAAAACTTAGTTTCGCTGCAACAGTGTACAGAGACTCCTGGGCTTGGCCCCCGTGGCAGGGAATTTCAGCTTACCTGGCTGCCTGCGGCTGGCGGTTTTTCCTACCTAGGGCTGCATCCTGGATTTCCTACAGCATAGTTAGAATTTCTCAGTGGAGCACAGACATCTCTGCAGGAAGAAAGAAAACCACTCCACTGCAGGAAGTTTACTGTTCAAACCTTTCTGGAACATCCTTAGGTCTTTGTTGGTGTGCTGCTTTTGTCTGTTTCATTTTGTGCTCAGAGAGGAAAACTTGAAGCCCTTTTTGTTTGTGTGGTGGTGGGAGGCCGGACAATAGCTCCCCTTGCCCTTTCTGCCCTCCAGCCCATCCTCTGGGTTCGGAGGGGCCTGAGCCTAGCCCTGCCAGGGTCAGAGAGAAATGGAAGGGCATTCTGGTACATTTGTCCACACCGCTTCACGTGTCTGTAATCTGAGGGAGAGTTCAGCAGGCAGTTTTGGATAATGAAGATTATGTTTGCAGACCCAAGGAGCCAGTGGGGAGACACACGCTGCTTTTTTTATATGTGAATATTATCAACCGTATTTTACATTACGTTTAGAGATCCTTGCCTGACTGAAACTTGCCTGTCACTTAAAATCACTGATTTTTTTTTTTATGGCGTTGAAGTCTATCAAGGCGTAAAGTTGAAAGAATAAAAATGAAATCCCTCTCTTGATGGCTTCAGCTTAATGGGGTCTTTCCAAGCCAAATGAGGCCCAAGTTGGGCATAAAATGCTCAAACCCAGAAGATATTTGTCAGTTTCACAGTGGAGTGCTTCCCTTAAAGTCAAGAGCACAGAATGCCAACACTGCTGAGAAATAAACAGCAGTTTGGTGGCACAATCTTGCAGCTTTGGACTGGCCTGAGCGTTAGGGGGAATGTAGTGAGCAGCGTGCTACACAGATTGGCTATCAGGCCTGGGAGTCCACCCCAGTCTACAAAATTCGTTTTGAGAGCTCACCGAAGTCCAGTTTCATTTCGCCAGCAGCGGGATTGCTGTTCCGAGGAGGGAGGGGTGCATCTTGATGTTTATTTCCTTGATAAGTTTACCATTTTCTCATCAATGGGTGGTGAAAAATTCTAGCCCTGACTGACTGCGCTTTACTAAAAGCCTACCCCAAACTATATAGAACTAGACACCCACAGGGAAAGGTATAAGCAAGAATTTCTCTATAAAGAGGGCAATCTATAAAGTCATGCCAGAGGAAGAATTACAAGGAAATTATTAGACAATGTAGAGAAATGGAGTGCCACCACTCACTTGTTTTGAATCTTGGGGCACTGAAAGATAGAGAAATTGAGCATATTTAATACTTCTGTTGTGGAAGAAAACAATTTTGCATCCCGTCGCCCTACTCTGAAACATGTAAACTCATCAATCACAATAGGAAGTTTGAGATTGGAGTTAAATATTGTGGGATAAATAGAGAATCAGATCCAAGATTCTGAGAGATTTATTTTCCCTTTTTCTTTTCTCTTCTCTCCTATTGTAGGCGAATGTTCCCTCCGTTTAAAGTAAGATGTTCTGGGCTGGATAAAAAGGCCAAATATATTTTGTTGATGGACATTATAGCTGCTGATGACTGTCGATATAAATTTCACAATTCTCGGTGGATGGTGGCGGGTAAGGCAGATCCTGAAATGCCAAAGAGAATGTATATTCACCCGGACAGCCCGGCTACCGGGGAGCAGTGGATGTCCAAAGTCGTCACTTTCCACAAACTGAAACTCACCAACAACATTTCGGACAAACACGGATTTGTAAGTTTCATTGCTCCTTCGGTAAAATTTTCTCTTTCTTTACTCGCAAAGGCAGTGCTTCCCCCTTCCATGTAAAATCCTGAGTTTCTGCTCAGAAATCTCCTTTGCTCTCTGTTGTTAAGCGTGGTAAACTTGTTCGATCTGCAGCAGAGCGGAGAGAGGGTTCTGGGGTGTTTCTTTCCGGATAATGGAAGGCCTGGCGTTCTAAAAGAAAGGAGGGCTAGGAAACTTGCCGGCTCCTGTTCCAGGGCAATTCCACATCTTGGTTAATGCCTGACCTGATGGTGAAGTTAAAAACCCATCATTAAGATATAAAATCAACATGAAAGTTATGTGTTCGTAAAGGAGTTGTTTTAAGAGAATATACTTCTGTTTTGAAATCAACCATATTATTTCTTGGGAGAATTTTAAGGTTCGAAACCTTGACCATGGTGGTGAAAGGGTGCCAAGACATCTTTTGAAAGATATTTTTTCTTTTGCTAAAAACGAATCGGGCTTAGGTGAAAGTCATGTTTACTAGAAATGAGATTTAGATCTCCGGTATAAAAATTGTGTGTGTGTTGGGAGTGTAGCTATGGATTCAGGGAGAGCATGCTTAGAAAGTTTCAGAAGACCTGGACTGCTTGGAAAAGTCAAGCAAAGGACCTTTTGCCCGGAGCCCCCACCCTTCCCCGACATTTCAATAAAATAAACAGAGTGATAAGCGAGGAATAAGCAGAAAGATTAGGCCCAGGAAGACGTGGATGGCGCAGAAATATCTTCAGCGGGCAGGAATTGCATTTGAAGCCCTTGATTTGATTAAGGCATAAATATTCCTCTCTAGAGTTCAGCCTTTCAAGGCTTTAAGTGGATTGGGCTCGTCAATTAGTGAGCGCTTAAAGGACTGAATCATTTTGTAAATTAAAATGCATGTTTTTCTCTATCTTTTAAGACTTTGGCCTTTCCAAGAGATCACGCAACGTGGCAGGGGAATTATAGTTTTGGTACTCAGGTAGGCTAGGGTTCAAGGTACGAATGAACCTTAGATGGTGAGGGTGGGGGGACCCTTTGGAAATTGAGGAGCAATTTGGATTGTCCAGAAGATAACATGTGTGGAGCGCAATGTACCCAAAGAGGTACTGCGAGGAGGTGGGCTTGGTACAAGCTGGTACCCTTCGGTGGGGTAGATGTCAGCCTGGCAGGGGTCCTAAGATCCTTTTGTCCTGCTAAATCCTTTTTTGATGTGTGTCTCCCCTCCCTGCCCCTGCAGACCATATTGAACTCCATGCACAAATATCAGCCCCGGTTCCACATTGTGAGAGCCAATGACATCTTGAAACTTCCTTATAGTACATTTCGGACGTACTTGTTCCCCGAAACCGAATTCATCGCTGTGACAGCATACCAAAACGATAAGGTAACCAACGGCACTTTCCTTTTTCATGGTGATATTTTTTTTCTTCCTCTTTAAGCTGCTTTGGGTGAGGATGAGAAAATTACCCGAGAATTAGGATGAGAGTCTGAGTCTGAATTTTCTTTTCTGATGTGACCTTTAGTGAAGCTTTGGAGAAGGGGACTCTGGCTGGCACATCGCGGAGGCAGGAGAAAAAAAAAAAACTTGACCGGCTAGAAATCCAGTGTGGAGTGAAAAAATGCCAAACTAACTTTGCCAATGAGAAGCTGATGCTACCAGCTGTCCCCCACCAACCCCTACCCCGGGCTTTCTTCTGTTTGTTTCAAGGTTCATCCTCTTCCTCTTCAGGAAGAAGGGTCAAGAAATCAGGTTCGAAAGAACCAGTGAAAAATTTAAGGCAAAAACCATTCCGGATCCTGGGAGGAGAATCCCATTGGAGACTAGCTGTTCTCTCCTAGCCAGAAATCCCGAGTAGCTGGTCTGGTTTTTATTACCTTTTATGCTGCTGTGTTTTTTATGGGGTGTGTGTGTGTGTGTGTGTGTGTGTGTGTGTGTGTGTGTGTATGTGTATGTGGTTGGAAAGACCTACTCTGATCACAGGTCACGCTAATCGAGTTGTCTGAGGCTTTTGAGATGAGGTGACCAAAGTCACTACTTCATTTGAAGATTTTTTTTTTTCTTCCTT